GCACTATTTACTTATTAGTCAGTTGCAAAAAAGAGAGGCACATTCCTATCCTTAATGAAGCTTTTTATAGCCACACAAAAGCTATGGCATGTTGAAGACCACAAGTTCCAAAAGTTTTATAGTCACACAAGTGTTATCCCATATTTAAGACCACAAGTTTCAAAAGTCTTCATTTCTTTATTAAAATTTGTGCCAAGTCAAACTATGGCAAACAACGGGGAAGGTAGGGAGTATTTGTTTCTATGCATGCTGGGAATCTTGTTCCAATCGCCTATCTAAGTGATTTTTTTATGCAGCGGCTCAACTGCAACGTCTACTTTGTTTGAGGGACATCAACTCTCTCTGGAGTATCTTGTGAAGAATCTTTTGAAGGTTTATGTCGACATTGAATTTACAGGATCCCACACCCAGGTAATACTTTGGTGCTTTATTAATTAATATGTGCTTTGAGTGAAACCTTTTCTGCAACAACAAACAACAACTATGCCTCAGTCCCAAACAAGTTGTGCTAACATTATACAAGTGGAAAAAGTTGTTTGCATCCCCTAAAAATTCCTCCTACTAAGGAAGAAGCAATATGTGATGCTAGTTCTTTCTTTTCTCATAATTTTATCAGATACTTTTATAGTCTCATAAGGATCTTGAAATGTGAGCTTACTCCTTCGTCCTGCTTGTGTCATTCATTTTCAAGACTTCAGGTCATTGACCTTTCACTTCATCCTTACCTTCTCAAAGTGGAGATTCTTCAGATCTGGCTGGACATAAAAAATATACAGATATATGCTTGTTCTTGAGGGTTGTCAGTAATTTTTCGGGGAGTTAAAAGAATTAATCTTTTTCCGTCATAAAAGAGGTTTCTCGAAGAAAAATTAGTGTGTGTGTTAGCATATTTGGAAGAGTCTGTTGAAAAGTAGACATATTCCAAGAACTTAGTTTGTAGGTATGGTTCTCCAAGACTGTTGAAATATCTTTTTAAGTATGGCTATTTGGAAACAGAACTATTTTTACCGAGGTTCTCAAAAGTCTGTTTTCTTCGTTCTTTGGTGATATTATTGTTTCAGCATAGAGAGGTTTGAATGCTGGCTTAAGTCATCAAATTTTTCTTTTTCTTTTTCTATAAAAACCCACAGGTTTTGGATAGTGTTTTCTTGGTTCTCGGGTGATACTTGTTTCAGGATAGAAACGTTGAATGCTTTGGTAATATGTCTTCAATTTTTAAAAAAAAGTGGGGTGGCCAGGGTTAACGCAGTAAAAAAGTTGCTGTCTCACAAAAGAAAATATGGTTGATGAATAAACAGTCTGCTCTCTGATTCAGCCTTATTGCCAGAAACAAAAGTTGCTAATTTAGTCAATGGCATTCCATATTGTTCTGTTAGTTGCAGTTTAGTTCATTTGATGGTAGAGACTTCCAATGTGTGCTCTTTAATGGAATGTCTTGTTTGCTGCAGTTCTATGATAAATTTAATATCCGCCACAACATTGCTGAACTACTTGAATATCTTTGGCAAGTTCCAAGTCACAGGAATGCATGGAGACAGGTTGAGAGTTTTTTTCTCTCTTTTCGGTATATTTTGCATTCAAGGTTTTATAACACAACCCTTGAACTACTCTTCAATAACGCTCCATCTGTAACCTCAATATTTACAGATTGCCAAGGAGGAGGAGAAGGGTGTTTATTTGAATTTCTTAAACTTCTTGATTAATGATAGCATCTATCTTCTCGATGAAAGTCTTAATAAAATTCTTGAACTAAAAGAGCTAGAAGCTGAAATGTCTAACACAGCGGAATGGGAGCGAAGACCAGCTCAAGAAAGGCAGGAGAGAACTCGCCTGTTCCATTCACAAGAGAATGTCAGTTTTAAATCTTTAAATATTTTGATTTGCTAAAGCTATATTCATAATTTAAGTGAAAGATGCTGGTTGTTTTTAGATAATTCGAATTGATATGAAGTTGGCAAATGAAGATGTGAGCCTGCTAGCATTTACTTCAGAGCAAATTACCGCCCCTTTTCTTCTTCCTGAGATGGTATGTTCACCATTCTATATCATTTCTCTTGGGGTTTTTTTCAATCGAGGAAGCTGTTTTTTTTCTTTTCAAATTGGTTATTGTTTTATAATTGGTGAAGCTGTTTTTCCCCCTTAATTTTTCTCGAAATGGTTTTCTAGGTGGAGAGAGTTGCTAGCATGTTGAATTACTTTTTACTACAGCTGGTGGGTCCACAAAGAAAATCTCTCAGCTTGAAAGACCCTGAAAAGTATGAGTTTCGTCCGAAAGAGTTGTTGAAACAGGTGAATGAAGTTCTTTGCATATCTTGATATTGCTTGCTATAACTAACAAAGATCAGATGGCATTAAGTGTCCCTCAAATTGGAAAACTCCTAATCTTTTAGCTTTTGACTGAAGTCTTTGCCTTTATATACTTAAAAAGTAGCAAAGTGCAACTATGCTTTTCTTATGATTGAAATTGGAAATTAACACGGCAAGAGGTAAAGAAAGTATGAAATATGACTGAGCCACGTGATCAAATGCCAGAGGCACACACATCACTATATTTATATCTGCCAATTCTCCTCTGACCTTCACGTCTAGTTCCTCTTATTCCATTTGCTTGCTCTGTACATTGGCACCTTTGCCTCATCTCTAACCCGACTTGTTTATAATATTCCCACTTCCCAATAGGCAAAACCTACTTCTACTTGCACAGTTGCTCAGAGCACCAAATGTGAATAGATTATAATATCAAGTTTGGTAGAAAAATGTTTAATTAATGATTTGGAATGTATGTCTCTGAAAAACAATAGTGTGGGTTGTGAAAAGTGGAATACTTGGTGTCTGAGATGTCATACCGAGTTTGAGATTATAGAGTAATTATTTTTTTCCAATTTATATCAGATATTTCCTTTTGGTTCTTCCCAAAATATTCTAACATTGAAATAGTTAGTTGTTTTGGGATTGACCGCTTTGCTGGAAGGATTATGCTCCATGGTGGCAAAAATTAGTTTTTAATCACTCATTTGTGAAGGAAAATTGATGATTTCTCTTAATGAACTTATATGTTGGGAAATGACCTTAATAGATGTATGTTTATTTCTCGATGTGGATGACGACTTGGTGTAGAAATTTAGTTTGCTATAGCCATGATAATATTGGTAGTGTTATCTGTACAAGAATCTAGAGCAAATAATTTGTTGCATATTAGCAGCAAATATCATTTGCATACAGGGATGTCTTGAGCTCTTTTTTTTTTTCTATGGATCAAGCAAACAAATTTTCGTTAAATTGACCAAACGCCCCGTATACAAGAAGTATATATCAAAAAGTAGAAAACCCACAAATTGTCTTGAGCGTTTTATTTGCCAAGACTATTATTGTTTTAGCTATATCTAATGTGATTGTTGATGGGGTCTCTGTTCTGAATTTATTGGAAGCTCCGTCTGGTTATTCTTTTAAGAAAAACCAAGTGTATTTCTGTATTACTTAGCCTTTTTTCTCAGTTTATCACATTGTCCGGGTAATTTCCTGTTTCATGAAGAGGGCCAGAAAATTTTCTTTTTCTCCTTATTGTTTAAATTTTACAATTTCTTTTGGTCGCATGTGAAGATTGTGAAAATATATGTGCATTTGGCGAGAGGGGATAAGGAGAATATCTTTCCAGCTGCAATTACAAGAGATGGTCGATCGTACAGTGATCAGGTTTTTACTCTATGTTGCTAATTTTTTTCTTTTCCTTTAAAAATAATTTGCTTTCTTCAAATTCATTCTCTGTTTGGACTTCGGCGTGACAAATTGGATTTGCTCCAGATATTTAGTGCTGCAGCTGATGTCCTTAGAAGAATTGGTGAAGATATGAGGATCATTCAAGAGTTCATTGACCTTGGCGCAAAAGCCAAGGTTGCAGCTTCAGAAGCAATGGACGCTGAGGCTGCGCTTGGAGACATTCCTGATGAATTCCTTGATCCTATCCAAGTACGTACCTTCTTCTCGAAATCAAATCAAGTATCTTACAATTCTTGCTATATAGATAGCTTCCATAGTCATATTTTTGATTTGGACCAATGGTTTATTCGATTTGCAGTATACTTTGATGAAGGATCCTGTCATTCTTCCCTCTTCAAGAATAACAGTGGACCGACCTGTTATTCAGAGGCACCTTCTTAGTGATAGTGTAAGCCACTAAGTCTATGTTTCTATGTCTTTTATTCCACTAGGAATTATTGTTTTTCACTTGTTTCTACTGGTTTACAGTCGGACCCGTTTAACCGGTCTCATCTAACTGCGGACATGCTGATTCCGGACACTGAGTTGAAGGCGAAAATTGAAGAGTTCATTCGGTCCCATGAATTGCAGAAGCATGGGGAAGACTTGAACTTGCAAAACACAAAAACAACAATACAAACAACTGATACTTCAAATTTAATTGAGTAGGGATTTATCTTTTCTGCTTTTACCTGATCATGTGTATATTGGGTTCAAGTGATCAATGGTAGACCTTGTTGACAAAAACTAGAGATTCGTTTGTTTTTGTTTCTGTATGCGATAGTTCTTTCCCCCCAGGGTCCAATAACTATAGGGAGTTATGAGAATTGATGTTATTAGTTAATCAATGTCTCTCGCGGGCCAGGTGACAACTTTTGGCATGATCAGTTGCCTTTACGTATGTGACCACCTCAATGTACACAAGGGAATTTGCTAAATGGTATATTAATGTTTTCGTAATGTCATTTTTGGTCGGTTTGTTAGTGAATGTAGTACACTAAGCATTCGATCTCCTGATAAAATGACTTATTACTGGCGAAATACATAAACGGCCCTTGAAGTTGTCCTCAAACACCTGACCCCTTTATCATTTAGACACTTCAAGTGACTATTACTCAGATCAAGTAAACACATGTCGCTGATGTGGCATATGCGTGATTGCTAACAAATTTTGAGCGCGTGATACATTTTTTGCAGCCTAATTTTTTTTTTTAAAAAAAACATGAAATACCTCATTTTAGCATCTCTTCTTCTTTCAAGTGCAAACCACCATGAAAACACCATAGCTTTCATGAAAATCAGTCACTAAAACTCAAACTAAGCCACCTTAAATCACTAAAAAATATTGCCTTTCATCAAAAAATATACTGCCCATAACCTCCAGAGCTTCGCCTATATTCGTCGAGCCAAAACTAATCCCGAGCTAGCCGAAAAAAGCAGCAACAATAGTTGCGAAAAACCACCAAATCTCCACTAGATAAACACCCTCTTTCATCTAACAACACCTTCATTCCAAAAGAAACACACAAACAACAACCAATTATTTGAATCGACCGATAATTTTGCACCAAAAATAATAAATTAGAGAAACAAAAGCTTCAGTTTCAATAATGGTGAATTTCTGTTTCTTCAATAAAATTTGCTCAAATCAGTATTAACACAATAATCCAAATATAAAAAAATAACACCCACCGATTTTCATTCACAAACTTCAATTTGTAGAATCCAAATTTTAGATCCTCCATCTTCGATATTTCTCTTCTCCTTCGCCTTCAATTTTTTGCTATCCAGTCCCCGCTTCTGCTGCTTTTGGGATGGGAGGGTATTTTAGTCCAACTAATATTCATTAAACCTAAATAAAGCTACTTTTGGGATGTGAAGATCTGTGTTTAATTAGTTGGATGGAGAGTGGATTAGGGAAAAGGGGAAGGAGACGCAGAAGAAGGGCAGAAGGAAGAAGATGAATGGGGTGGGGGTAGCGTTGGTTTTGGTTCTGGAAGGAAGAAGATGAAGTGGGGGGGGGGGGGGGGCTGCTTTGGGGGAAAAGTTTATTTCTTCTTTAAATTCTTTTTTTTTGTTAATTTTAAGTGTTAAGTTTTAATTATAAATTATACGTGTCGTTCACTGATTGACTCATTTGACACATTATTGGCAAGTGTAACTCATGTATCTGATCTGTTGCACTCGGGTGTCTATTTGATTTACTTAACAATCACTTGAAGTGTCTAAATGATAAAGGGGTCAGTTGAGGTGTTCAGCTGGTCGTTGAGGACAACTTCAAGGGGCCGTTTATGTATTTCGCCTTTATAATTTATTCTATACTCTTGTCAATATCAGATTGAACCTTTGCCAAAGTCCTACCTACCTTACTTTCAATATGTACAAATAAATTTACAAGCTATTGCAATAACAAAATGCGTCCCTAAATTTGTATTTCCAGTTTTACATATGTTTTATTCCATCTAATGCCTTTCTATTTCCCCTTCTTCGGCGAGACAAAATAGAAACAAAGTAGATCTGAAAAAATGAAAACCTAAGACAGTAGCAAAAATGCTCCCAGGCACGTTCTTCAAGATTCTGCTCTCTCTTCTTCTTCCTAAGTCTCCACCATCCCCATCAAGAGCCATGCTTCTCGCGACCAAACCCCTGTGAAGACCGAAGACCGCCGGCATCTGACTTCTCACGCACGGTCAACGGGCCGGATTTTCTGGCGAGATCTAACCACGCGCCGGTGCGTTTGGCATTTTCCGGTGACTTTTTCAAAAAGAGTTTCTTCAGACAGCCTCTTCTCGAGGCTTTTCCGAGCCTTCCCGTCTCAATTTTACCAGAATCCGACAATTTTTTCTTTTTTCGGCCATTAAACCCCAGAATTCGGCGACTATTTCCGTTGTTCAGTACCAGAAAATTTCTTCCCTTCCTATATTCTGTTTTTCACTCACCTTGGAGGTTTTTCCAGCCATTAAACCCCAGAATTCGGCCATCTAACCTTCGAGGTTTTTCCAGCCAGATCTCACCTTTTCTTTTTTTGGGACAGCCGCATCTAGAATATGATGGTTTCTACAGAGAGAAACTCCTACTTTTCTCTAGAATCTAGAAAATTGGAAAATATGTCTTTCATCAAAGCTGCCTCTTGGCCAGCCCTAGAACTTGGGGGAAGATGCCATCGAAAGCTTGACGTAGGGCAGGAGCCGCACTTCTCGCTATATGAGGAGCACACTTTCATGCGCAAGGGCTTCTTGAAATCTTGTCTGATTGGGTCTTTCTCAAAATGGGTTGGTTCTCCAGAGGCTGTTAGGAACTGGGCAGCAGAGGCATGGAACGTCAAGGACATGCTGAAAATATCGCAACCGGGGGACACACAATATCTCTTTCGTTTTGTCGACGAGTCTCAAGCTTCGGAAATTCTTGTAAGAGGAAACAGGTGGTTCGATGGGAGCTTCTTAAAGCTAGACAGATGGGTGGAGCACGATGGGTGTCTAGACCCTCGTTCCACCGGCGAATCATTGGTGGTCAACATGGTGGGTCTCCCGATGCATCTTTGGTGTCTTGACTTATTCAAGAAGATTGGGGAAATCGGTGGGGTTTTTATCGGTGTCGCTTGTAGCTTACACGATCTCTCGCGAGTAAGGATTGTGGTGAGGAAAAGGGGCAAAATCCCTGTCTCCACTGTGGTGGAAGACGGCTACTTGAGTTATAGGGTTTGGTTGAGCCCTGAATTTTGCCCTATCTTTATGCCTGAGATAATGGCGGAAGAAAACGGAAGATCAAATAGAAGGGAGGGGAGGGGAAATCAGTCTTGAGGGGAGAGAAGGGCTTACCGGATCAGTGCACTAAGCCAGAATCAGACGTTAGATCGAGATGAGACGGGAGGTTTGATTTGGGAGAAGAAGACAAAATTTCAACAGGAGGAAAAGACGTGAATGGGTTAGTGATGCGGGCTGGAAAGGTAGAATGGGTCGGTCCTCTTCTAATTATCCTAGGGCCAGGCAAGATTTCAGCAAGTATAAGCCTGGGCCTCCTCACATGGGCCCAGCAACTTTTCCCAATTCTATTAGAATTGATCCTAAGGGGCCTAGATTATTTCAAATTGCGTCTGATAAGGCTCCTAAGCATATCGGAACAGTCATTCTTCCTTCTTCTGCCAATGGTGCTACACATAGTGGCATTTCTTCACCGAGCTCTAGTGACCTGCGCCCCTCTTCGATAGCCGCTGCTTCAGGGGCAGCACCAGCTATAGATGATACTGTTATTCCACTGCCTCCCGCCTATGATGGACCCAGCTCCATCGCCCCCTCATCTGCTCCTGGGCTTAGTTGTGTTGAGGCTACACTTCAAGCTTCTTCTTCTTCTGGGAAGATTGTTGAGCATGCCCCAACTGATGTTAGTGCTGGACCAGTATTTCTAGTTAAAATGCCGCCAAGGGTTCCATGCTCTCCTCCTTCCTGCTACCCTACTGGTACTTCTGGTCATTCCTATAGCAGCGAGGTGCTAATTTCAGAGGTTGATACCCCTCAAGGAAATGGTGAGATCCTTTCGGCACCTAAAGTTCCTATTGCTAGCAATGCTACGGTCTTGTATTCCTCCGGTAAGAGTAAGGAAAGGGTACATATAGAAGACGCCTATCCAATTTCGTCACGGATTGGAGGAGGGGATATGTCTTTCTGGATGGAGGATAAACTATTAAACTTTAGGAAATTTCTAGGTGTTCCTTTTGAAGGGAAGGAAAATAGGGTGTTAGAACTGTTGAGGGAGATTGAGCAACAATCTTTTTATGATGGTGCAGGGAGGGAGTTGGGTCAAGGTGTTAAGTAAAATAATTTAGGGGATGTAGTGGTGTACCAGAGAAGGGGCCGGGTATGTGACAAGGAGGAAGGGAGCATGGTTAGAGGGGGTGGGGAGAAGAGGGATATTGTTTCTTATGGAAGTTAAGATTCTTTCATGGAATGTGAGGGGGATGAATGACCAAAACAAAAGGGCCATCATCAAAGTGGGAGTTAGAGAGTGGGGTGCTGACCTAGTTTGCTTTCAAGAGACAAAAATGAAAGTTTTGCCCGATGTGATTGTGAGGAGTGTCTGGGGAGGTAGTTGGGTAAAATATGACTGGGTTCCAGCAGCGAGAAGTGCTGGGGGCATTCTTCTAATGTGAGATGATAGAAGCTTGGAGGTAAAGGAGATTAAGAAGGAAGTTTTTTCTTTAGCAGCTCTTGTCAAAGAAAGAGTGGGTGGGGTGGAGTGGGGATTTGGGGGAGCGTACGGACCGGTAGGAGAAGGGTCCAAGGTGTTTTCTTGGAGGAACTGGCAAATATGATGGGGGAATGGGACATTCCATGGGTTCTAGGGGGAGACTTTTAACACTATTAGATTCCCGGAGGAGAGATTAGGGTGTAGTCTGATTTCGAGGGTGTTACACCTTGTGTATTCGGCGTTATCATGCCGTAAAGGGGCTAATTCGATGGGAAGATAATTTCCATGAGATATTCAAATGATGCGATAGTTATTCGTTAAGATTGGAAGTCATTCGAGTTGTGATTAAAAAGTCGACAAAGATCGCCGCAAGTTACAGGTTTTAAATTTCACTGAAATTTGGATAAAATGTTGATGAGCTTTTCTCTCAATATACTAGGAGTTATAGTGTGTTCTACCCACCGAATCGAAGGTCTATGAGTTTAGTTTCCAACGCAACAAACTGTTTGTTAATACGACTTCGGAGTACAGAGATATTAACATTTTCCTACAGGGGTGCACACTGCTACGGGAGCAGTGTGCTTAGTCGATTTTAGTTAAAAGTTTTTTTATTTAAGTCAATTTAAAACAGAACCGCTGCGTTTTATCCTCTCCAAAACAGAACCTAAAACCTAGGAATTCCTCTCAAACTCCTTCCATCCATCTAGCCAATCATAACAGCAATTTAGTCATCCTCAAGATGGAGAACACCATGGTAACTTTGGAATTGTGAATTCTTCGGTGTTTCACTTTTTGTAGGAAGACTTCGCCTTGAAGTGATCTCGAATTTAAAGTAATTCTGGTCACATAAGGTATGATTTAACTTCCTCTTTGATCTTTGTAAACTTCTACCATAAGAATTCCTAAGAAATAGTTGAAACCTCTATAGAAATGTTCTTGATTTTTTAAGAAACCTCTCTTAATATGACTTGATTGTTGGGGCTGTTTTATATTGTTTTATTGTGTTGTTTGGATCTGTGAGACATGGATGGAATCGTGTCGATGAGGAGATGTAGTAAAGTAAATATTTGGTGGTGTATCGCGGGGAAATTAAACTACAAAAGAGTCTACAAATTCAGGCCCGCGAGTTGTTCGCTTAAATGTGTAAATGAAGAATTATATAAGATATGAGCTTGAATTTGATATTGAATGGTTCGTATTATGTAGGAAAGTGTTCCTAAGGCTTTCGACGTCTCGGAAACCGTATATAACTCCATCGACAAGGTATATAGGGCTTTCGCTATACTTTTCGGCATGACTAGAATTCGAATAAACGTTTATC